CCTTTTGTGTTTTTCCTTCTGAACAGCCGCCATCATGAGTTCCTGTGAGTTCTTTCTCCCGACAGCTTCGTTCGAGCTGCTGCTCCTGAAGCTGTGCCCACGCGCCGCATGGTTTCCTCTCGCCACATCGACCGCGAGCAGCATGCATCGAATGCATTGCTTTGCTCGCTCGAACGGGCCGTTCGAGCTGCCCAGACGGAGCTTCGAAGCCGCATCGCACACCTGAGAGCGCCATCATGCTGACCCGACGCGACAGTGCGCTTCCTTGACTTGGTCAAGCCCTTCGTGCCGTTCCTCCCTGAGGTTCAGCAGCCGGAGACCAAGATCCCCTTCAACCAGAAGCTGATGTGGACGGCCCTGACCCTCCTCATCTTCCTCATCATGAGCCAGATGCCCCTCTACGGCATTGTCTCCTCGGACAACTCCGACCCCCTATACTGGCTGCGTATGGTCATGGCGAGTAACCGCGGTACCCTCATGGAGCTCGGCATCACCCCCATCATCTCCTCCGGCATGGTCTTCCAGCTCCTCGCCGGCACCCACATGATCGACGTCAACCTTGACCTCAAGTCCGACCGCGAGCTGTACCAGACCGCCCAGAAGCTCCTGGCTTTCGTCCTGTCTGCCGGTACCGCCACCGTCTACGTCTTCTCTGGCCTCTACGGCCCGCCCTCCGACCTCGGTGCCGGTATCGTCTTCCTGCTCATCCTCCAGCTCGTCGTCGCCGGCATGATTGTCATTCTCCTCGACGAGCTCCTGCAGAAGGGATACGGCCTCGGCTCCGGCATCTCCCTCTTCATCGCCACCAACATTTGCGAGTCCATCATGTGGAAGGCCTTCTCCCCCACGACCATCAACACGGGCCGCGGCCCCGAGTTTGAGGGCGCCGTCATTGCCCTCTTCCACCTGCTCCTCACCTGGCCCAACAAGCAGCGTGCTCTGCAGGAGGCTTTCTACAGGCAGAACCTCCCCAACATTATGAACCTCCTCGCCACCCTGGCCGTCTTTGGCGCCGTCTTCTTCCTCCAGGGCTTCCGCGTCGAGATCCCCGTCAAGTCCTCGCGCCAGCGTGGTGCTCGCGGCTCCTACCCCGTCCGCCTGTTCTACACCTCCAACATGCCCATCATGCTGCAGTCGGCTCTGTCCTCCAACGTCTTCCTCATCAGCCAGATGCTCTACTCCCGCTTCTCCGACAACCTCCTCGTCCGTCTCTTCGGTGTCTGGGAGGCCAAGGAGGGCACCTCGCAGCTGTCTGCCATCTCCGGCCTTGCCTACTACATGTCCCCCCCCCTCAACATGAAGGACGCTCTGATTGACCCCATCCACACGGTCGTCTACATCGCCTACATGCTGACTGCCTGCGCCGTCTTCTCCAAGACCTGGATCGAGGTGTCTGGTTCCAGCCCCCGCGATGTCGCCAAGCAGCTCAAGGACCAAGGTCTCGTCATGGCCGGTCACCGTGACCAGTCCATGTACAAGGAGCTCAAGCGCATCATTCCCACCGCCGCCGCCTTCGGTGGTGCCTGCATTGGTGCTCTCTCTGTCGCCAGTGACCTCATGGGCGCCCTCGGCTCCGGTACCGGTACCCTTCTGGCTGTCACGTAAGTTCATGAGCTCACACGATGCCTCCCACATGCTTCACCCGCTAACTCGACCTCCCACAGCATCATCTACGGCTACTTCGAGATCGCCGCCAAGGAGGGTGACCTTTTCGGGCATGAAGGGCATGATCATTTTGCTAGTATTTTGTACATCAGCTCAGGTTTCATGATTTTTTACGCCCTCGACACCACGAAGCCTCTTCCTTTGTCTACGGGGGCTTTCGGGCCGCCTCGTGCGAGACCCGGCGGGCCCATTGTGTAATATCAAAGGAATGATAACATAAAGATGTCATAAAGAGTCTTTTTCATTCATGGCGTCACTTTACTACTGGCCTCGATCGAAAAAAAATGAGCTTCGAGGTACAAGGGTCCCCAGAGGTGGCGGCATCGCTGCGCATCGGCAGCGAGTATGATGTTTTTGGTCCTGCCAGTCTCGACGCGTGAGGAGACTGGCGGGAGTGTACCAAAGAAAGGCGTATGCAATCAAATTTTAAGCGCATTGGCCTGATCGTGTCTGTGATTATTGTCGTGCACCGCTTTCTGTTGTGTAGATGCGAGATGGGCCAGCCTCGGTTACCAGTGGGAGTAAAGTGAAGGACATTGCTATGCGTGGATGCTCAACGAGCTGTCTCCAACCACCCTAATCCTTCGGACCGCTTCTTGGGAATCCGTACGGGACTCGAAACCGTATCTCACGGAACAGCGGATCATCTGGCTCGTGTCGGGTCAGCGAGGTCGACTCGATCGCGATCGGTCGATGGTGCGAACCGCCCACCCGCAGAAGGGCATGTATATTCATTTTTGAATTATCCATTCTACCGCGAATCCAGCATCGGACGCGTCTTTGCGTCAGAAACCCACACACAAGGAGAAGATCCCCATCCCTTGGGCCCAGAGACAAGACAAGGGAAACCCGCTCCCCCTATCGGCGCGCGCGTAGGTCCCTGGAATGGGCCGTGACATGCCAGCGGGTCGCCGTGTCCCCCTCTGCATGTACCGTACCTCTTCCCCAACCCCCAGAGTCAGCCATCTACGGTAGGGTTCGTGCTACGATGCCACGGCCAATCGGCCGTTTAGCGATTTGGCAGGAGCGGATACTGCGTCGAATTAGACGGGCGTGATGGTCCTGGAGGACCGGTTGCTGCATACATCGCCCGTCACTTGACCGGGGCTTTCACATAGTAGTGGAGTCGGCTGCTACCCTATATTGCGAGCGAGACGCTGTTGGAAGTCTTGCTAAAAAAAAAGGCAGACGAACTACAGCGTTGCAGGGACAATCAGAGTTTCTGTCAGTGTCTCACCGCCGCGGCGCTTGAAGTACCCCAAGTACAGTACAGTACAGCACAGGCAACAGCAGCGGTTCGGCTTGCGTGCCCCTTCCATTCTCCTCCCCGCAGGGCGGAGAGGGCGGCGCGCGCGGACCGAGAAAGGCGCATGCCCGGATGGCTTTCGTTTCTGTGGTGGGTGGCACTGCAGGGGTTGGCGGGCGGGTGTCAGACTGTCTCCTTCGTGCTTGTTTTTTGATTTTTTTGCTACTGCTGCTGTGCTGCTGTTTTTGTGGGTGCTGAGCTGCTGTGCTACATACTATGTACTACTCAGCTGCTCATTTGCTCTCTGGAGAGTCAGCAGCATCTGATAATGGAGGCATATGGCCAATGGGGTTTCGTTGGCGAGCTGTTGCTGGGGGGGGGGGGGGG